AGCACTATCTGTGCTGCCGCTGGGGGATGTTGGCTCCTTGTACTCCAGAAGAAGTAAAACTTGGGCTGTAATTCTTCCCTTTTACCATCCCTGACCTCAGATCTCATTTTTCACTGGCAGGAGCAGGAAGACCAGCCTGCATCCTAATCCCTTCCCTCCTCCTACCTTCCCTGTGCTTCAGCCCAGCCTGCGGCTCCTTGTCCTCGGTTGGCAAAGCTTGGTTTGTGGGGCCAGGGCTGAGATACCACCTGCCCCTACTCCTGCATGTTTGCTCACGGGAAGTGCTCGAGGCCGGGGTGGTGGTGGTGAGCTTTCCAGTACCTCTGCATCCCTGTGTGCAAAAAGGGGCAAATCTGTACCCCTCGTTTCTCGTAGTGGTGTGAATCTTAAGGACGTTCTTATTTCAAAATGTGTCATTAAGGAATTAAATCCTGTTGGAAGTCCCAGATGTGCTCACAAGTCATTTTTGTGCTTTTGAAAGTAGTGCCATAATGTATTAGTATTTTTAGATCACTTGGATATTTTCAGCTGGAGGAAGATCTTTTATTTTCTTTGTTAATTGTGCTATGAATAGATCTTAGGCTACTGAGGAGAAACGAGTCGATATGTTGAAATGGTGATCCCTCATGAGTTCAGGTGTACACCTGGCTGCTCTGAATTGCCTACTGAGCTGGGCTGCTGGAGCGGTGACAGCTTCTGCCAGCTGCGGATCTGTCCCAAAGTTTCCTGGGCTTTTTACGAAGATGTGGCAAGCTGCCACTGCTCCCAGCTCCTCGGGGCTGTGCAGTTTAGACCCTGATCTTTCAGTATGAATCATGATGGGCCCCTGCACTGTTCAAATTATCAGTAAAGAAGCTTTAGAGCATCATCATTCATTAGCTGATTTCACTCCTTGAGATACAGTAAGCAAAAGCTGTGCATGTAATAACTGCAAATGAAAGGTGGAGGGGAATCATCCAGAGGGAAGATGTTGGAGATACTATTAACATTTGGAAAAGATTTTCTAAATGATGGGCTTGAGCCTTTTCTGGAGTGAATCAGCAGGAGAGCTACAGGAGAGTTCTGAGTCAGGATATCTGCACTCTGGCTTCAAGGCTTTCAAGAAGGGATTGGTGATGGTAATAATGGTGGTTTTAAAATTTTGCATGATTTTTTAAAGGAAGAAAATTCTAAGGAAAAATCACAACATTGCTCAATATATGCACCCTAAAGAGGTGCATGTGAAAGACGAGGTGATTGAGTCTCCATTACAGCTCAGTCCTTGGGCTCTGTAATGGGATTGCTGACAAGTAACAGGTATTACAGACATAAAATGCTAGCCACGAGATGAACCCGGCTCCATCAATAGGCAGAATAAGCAAAAGAGAAAGAATTATCAGGGGTAGAAGATTTAAATACCGTTGTGTGGGTAAATTATCAGCTCATTTCATGTAGCTTTTCACTGGCCAAAGAGAGAGTATCTCTCGAGACGTTTTACTGAAGGCAGAAACCCAATTAGAATAAGATTGTTACACAACTAATAAAGTGTTTTCAGACAAAGAATTATTTTTAGTGCTGCAGAAGTAGTAAAGTATTAGAGCAAAACATGTAAAAGCAGAGAAGAGCACAGTTAGAAACTTTTCATGGTCTTTAGGCACCTCAGTCACTCATTTCTGAGGCTTGATTGGTGTTCTGGCAGCTTACAGCACTAGCCAGCTTTCCCATTGCATTTGCCCGTGCACAGTGACACCAATGCCGAATCTTACTTCTTTTCAGAGCTAATGCCATTCTGGATACACTAGAAACTTCTGCTGTCAGACACGTGGAAGTGCCTGCATTCAGTGACATACTCGGGTTCCTTGCCTCCTTCAGCTGGTGAAAATTTACAGGGGTCAAAAAACCTCTGGCCTCGATGTCTTTATGTTAAACTAACAACCAAGGATGTTGAAGTTCACACGGTGTGACTGGGAAGTGATGCATAACTGCTTCTGCATTAAGAAGATCCATTGGTTAGCAAGATGCAGCCATTATGAATTGTTTTTATAAGTGTTTAATAATTGCATGTATTTGCCATGTGGCTTTACTTTCAAGATTATCCTCCACCCCTTCTTCTTAGACACTGTAGTTCATTTAGGTGGTGTAAATACTTAGGATCTCCTCCTTTAGACAGTAGCAAACCCTTTCAGTGTGACCCTGCTTGGAAGTTAGGGACATGGCGGAGCGAATTCCGGAGAACACACAGCGCTTCCTCTCACCTCAGCGGATATCAAAGGTGCCCAGCTCCTCCTGATTCACTGAGCCTGTGTGATGCGCGGGTTGGATGCCAGTCTGAAATGTGAACTTCTGCGGTGACAGTGCTGAAACTGTGAAAGAGCCTGCATTTGGCCATGGCATTGCTTCTCCCCAGTGCTGTCAACACCAAGACTCAGGTTGCGATAGCAAAGCAGAAAGCTGCTGCTTCAGTGATTATTGTTCAGACGTTGATGTACCCAACCATCTCTCCCTTTGCATCTCCCCTCAGCACCATTTCTGCTGTATCTAATAATTGTTTTTCTTTATAAACAGCAATGTAGGAGCAATAGCGTAGTTAAATCTTTAAAAGGTTATCTCGCAATGTCATTTTCTTGACTAATGTGTTCCTGCTGCCATGTCGTTTGTGAATAGACATGTGTTAGCCAGCTAGTGTGCTTCATCTGTGGTGACTTTGATTTATTTGCTCTGTAAATTGGGACTGAAGCAATAATGGAAAGTGACATTAATTGTTTAACAGAGTCCTCTTTGTCACATCCTGTGCTTTCTCTGGGGTGTTTGAATGTTGAAACTTGTACAAAACTAATTGAAATTGCTGTGATGAGGACCAGTGTCCACTCAACTTTCTGTTCTTGAATGTCAGCGCACTTGAATGTCTGTTTAAAGCATGAGAGCTGAGCAGCTAACAGCAAATATCAGGGTTTCTTCTGGCATCCTATTATTAAAGAAGGCATTCCCCGTTAGAAATAGTAACACTTCCAGCTTTGTTATCAGCTTTATAAGCTGCAAGGCTCAGCAGTGCACCCCACCAGCTAGACTTGCTGGAGAAGTTCCTGGTGCAAGGCTGGGGGTCAGGCAGCCAGACCCCGCCGTGGCCATCCTGGGGCTGAGAGGTGGCTCTCACCACCATTGACTCCACCACCTGCAAGGGGCTTGAAATACCATTGGGAAAAAAATTCAGCACTTTGTTACATTGCAAAGTGCTTTTCTGCCCAATAATGCCTTTTCGTACTTTTCTAGAAGTGACACCATAATTTTCCTCTTTTCCTCTCAAAAATCGGCTGTGAAAAGCTGGGTTTGGAGCGTGGTTTTATTCACAAGGTAACTCACCTCTGCTTATTTTCATCCTCTGCACTGTGCTTATTTTCATCATGGCACTGTGCATGTGTTTGCCTGGTGTGGTGGAAGTCACCAGATACCAGAACTTAGACTCTTTTTCTCAGTGGCCAAGCCCCTTTTGGCCTTTTAAGTAAATGCTTCTCCTTAGCATTAGCTTTGCCTGAGTGTTTATTTGTTTCTTGGGGATGATGCTGTAAGCACCAGAACAGTTTGTGCTCTGCCGTAGCTTTCTAGCTCAAAGACAGAGTTTTTCTGTAAGAAGCCGTGAGGTGTGATTTGACAGAGAAGCCTGGAAGGAGCAATTATCTGTGTGGTTTATGAGCATCTCTGTTCGGAGTGTGGTAGATAGAAGTATTACTGACAAAAGTCATGCTAAGGGGATACCCACATTTGCTTGATTTTTTTTTTTTTTCTGAGATGTAACTGGCAATATTTTGTTGTTGAATTTTTAAACATTTTGATTGTTTTTCTTACTGATACATTCCTTGCTAGTTCACCTTTAAACTGTGAGATTTGAACTTAGCTGAAATCTCTTCACAGTGTGAACCTGGAGAATGATGAGCCACTCTGAAGCTGGTGGAAAAGCTCCCAATTTGATATCCCTAGAGTCGGTGAAAGGCTTTTCATTTACTTTAATAGCACTAGGATCAGCCTAGGAATCTTAGATAATTGATCTGTCAAGATCAATTTCCAATCTTTCTGAAAAATAAATATAATGATTTTTATACAATTCTATTCCTCAGAACTTTCAGTACTCCAAAAAATCTGTACCATAAAATACAGTAGGGACTATATTTCATTAAAAAACTGGAAGGCATTTAAATTTACTCAATTTGACAAAAAGAAGTCTTGTTCCTGAAATAAGATATCTAATATAAATTAACATTACAGCCACATCTGATTAGGAATTAATCTGCTTTTTATAATTGCAGTCTGAATTAGATAAATGCATACAATAGTCGCACTGAGCACTCAAATGACATAACTCGAAAGGACAACTTCAAAGGCAACCTGTCTAATACATTTCTTTAAAAGAAACCCAAAGAGCCTGCATTTACAATATGAGTCCTGATGGCTAGTCTTGTGCCAAAATGGTCAGGAATTACAAGTTGTTCGTTTGGGTTTGGAGCAAGGATTTCCAGACGTATGGAAGGGAAACCCTTTGTGGCTTACACTGGGCCGCGGATGCGAGCAAGGTTTTCCAAATTTCACTGGTGATTCATTTTGGTCTTCTGATTAGCTGTCTTATTCTCTGATTCTTGTAATTTTGTCAGGTCAATTAGCTGGCGTTCAGTGTTGAAGAGAGAAAGAAAGAGACAGCCTGGGCTGACACCGTCATTAGGTGTCAGCAGCTTAGGCGCATCCTGTAATACAATCCCTGGGTAATTACTTACCGTTCTTCACGCCAGGTAAAAAAAAAGAATTGTGGAAGAAAAGTAAACTAGAGCAGTACATTCCGAGTGCAAAGAGATTTCTCTTGCAGGCAGAGATGGATCATTTTATTGCGCTTAATTACATCTTCTGAGATTCTGTTGCAGGTTACTGTTTCAAGGGCTGGTCTAACTATGTTTTGACTGCTTTTTCACATACAGAGGCATCGTTTTGTTCCTTTTCTCACCTGGTTCTGCTTTTTGTTTTGTCCCCTCCCACAGAAGATAGATGAAGAGAGCGAGGCAAACTTGCTAGCCGTTCTCACTGAAACGCTGGACAGCATCCCTGTGGATGAGGATGGATTGCCTTCATTTGATGCACTGACAGATGGAGATGTGACCAACGAAAATGCCACTAGCCCTTCCCCAATGCCCGACGGCACCCCTCCAACTCAGGAGGCAGAAGAGCCGTCTCTAGTAAGAACCCTTCCTACTGTTTAACAGGAATTGGATGTGCCTCTGGCTACCCGCTGCATGGGTATGATGTAGTCACAGTAAGGTCTGGACTTTTCATTTAGACTGAAAAGGAAAATCAAGTAAAGAACTGAAAATTATGTGGGGAAAAAACCCCACCAAATAGCTGTAAGATGACTAATAAGGGAATCTATTAAAAAGTATGTTGAAGAGATTGGTTTTGAGATTCTTGTGCTAATGGCTGACACTTTTGCTTATCACTCTGTTCAAATAAGTCAGGGTAATGTTTTTTAATTTATGTTTCATTTCTTGGGGCTCTTTTTGTATGTATGCTTAGACGTCACTTTTGGTGATCTGTAAAGAAAGGCCCATTGAGTCTGGCAGGATGTGGGGCTAATTTTGTGCCTTAAACGTTGATTTGACTACTAAGCACCAGCTTAGTGCTAATCAGGGCAAACCCAAACCTTGGGTGAGGATGTGAGTGAAACCTCATATGCATTTTGTGCAGTAAAACCAGTTTGAGACGTGATTCTGTTTCTGCTGAAAGCCCCTTATCGCTGGCTTCTGCAGAAGCAGAGCCAGATACCTGCATCTAGACTCTGTATCCATTAGTTTGTGAAGTTAACGTCTCTGTTTAGATCAGAGGCCTCTTCTGTCAAACAGATCACGGAGAATTTCATTTTGCCATGGATTCAGAAGTCCAAGACCCCTGCCATTTCTGCTTGCCCTGCAGTATACTGCAGTAAAGGGAGCAGAAATACGCTGCCAAGCCAGAAGAAAATGAAATCTGTTTGCTCTGGGGAATATTGAGCCCTTCTTTCTGTTTTATTGTACTTTGCTTGCTGTAATTGATATAGCTAATTTTAAGTAACTGTGCAAAAATGTAGATTAGTCATTTTAATCCATAAAGATGCATAACTTTACTTTTTTCCTTCCACCTCCCTTTCCCTGATGTGTTTGTAGCTTAAGAAGCTCTTGCTGGCTCCAGCCAACACTCAGCTAAATTACAATGAATGCAGTGGTCTCAGCACACAAAACCATGCAAACACTAATCACAGGATCAGAACAAGCCCTGTGGTTGTTAAGGTACAAACTTAATCTTTGTAATAAATATGTATGGTATTAATCTGCTTACTATCTTGCAACTGCTTTTAAAAAAAAAAAGTGAAAGATTATAGACTGCGTTCCAGAAAATCACCTGAGCTCCTTTATGCTCTGAATATTTCATTTATGCTTTTTCTCTTGGCAGAGTTCAGTTGTAGTCCCACCGTCTGTTACTCTTGCCTCCTTTATTGATACACAGAGTAGTAGGGGGTACGATAAAATTTGCTGATGGGCTGGTGTTGTTTATGAGTGACTCCAGGATGTGGGACTGCCATTTTACCAGCTGTCTAAGCTAAGAAAAATGATACTGGATTCTTGGCAAAAGATGTATATCAGCCATTAATTGGATAGAATGGGGGCTCTGACATAATTCTGTTAGCAGGCAGTATTAAACAATGTTTGTCTTGCCATTCACTGTAACTGAAAACGGAGCGTTTAGGGGTACTTAAGAGAGTTGTGAATACTGGGCTCAAGCAATCAGCAGCAAATTAAGGTTTAAACCAGCTTATTTTTTTGTTCACAGTAAAGGCGCTGTAGGGTCTTGTTAGTTACATGTTGCTGAGTAGGAACATTGAAATGTAGGAGAAATGAAATAAAAAGCTGCATAAATGTCATTTAGGAATTTTAAATGTAATTTTCTTTCCTTGTTCTGCAAACAATTATTCACAGCTCATAGATCTAGTACACTTAGACTGAACACTTCATTGAAAATCTCATCTCTTCAGAAAACCTATATCCATTCTGATAAGGTTCAGCTCACTAATTTTAGCTTTTTTTTATTTTATTTTATTATGCCCTGGTTTTAAGACTGAGAATTCATGGAGCAATAAAGCGAAGAGCATTTGTCAACAGCAAAAGCCTCAAAGACGTCCGTGCTCTGAACTTCTCAAATATCTGACTACAAATGATGACCCTCCTCAGACCAAACCAGCAGAGAACAGGAACAGCAGCAAAGAGAAATGCACCTCCAAAAGGAAGCCCCATCTGCAGTCTCAGACAAATCATCTGCAAGGTAGGTGTGGGACTACAGAACACAGCTTTGGTACCAGCAGTAGCGAAGGGAAGCTGAAATACTGCGGTTGTGAATACCCTCGATACCTCTTCTGTTCTTTGGATTAGTATTGTAAATCCAGCATCACTTCTGTGTAGGGAGAATTTTAAAACAGTATAATGAAGTTAGAATTAGTTAGCTAGATTTAGGTTTTAAATAGTTTTAATCCTGTCTCTGTCACCCTCACCTCAGCAAAGGAATCTCAGGGAAAAAAAGTTTTAACAAATGCCACATGGTAATATACCAGGCTAGCTGCAGATATTTATTCACAGAGTACTGTACCACTAAGAAATCATTATACCCCCTAAACAAGCTGGGCAGGCCAGTTCATTAGTGAGCTTCTTTCTTTTTTGCTAGTGTAAAACTGAAGGCATTGTTAACCTGCCACATAGTCCTTCAGAGACAATAAATAGTGCTCTCACTGCTACAGAGAAAGCAATAAATGTGTCATTCCTGTTAAAGCTGGAATGCCGTTTTGTAATTTTATTTTGTAAACAGTTGAAAGTTTAGCTGCCATGCCGATCTTTCTTTGTCTTTTTAGGTTCTTTATGGCCAAAACTAAAGACTTGTGTTGACTTTTAGTATCCCCTGATGCATAACAAACTGGACTATATTACAAGTAGATTCTATGACAGAGATGCAAGAACTTAAAGCCCCCTCTCTCGCTTTCTCTCCCCCTTGTCCTCTGCCTGTTTTCCCAAGATAAAGGAAAGCTGTAAAAGCTTGTGATGCCAAAGGGAGCTTTTTTTAAAGTTACTGTTACTTTAAAATACATCTATGTATACATATTGGCCTGGCATCTGGAAGGCCAGGTGCATATCTCAGTCACATCAGTGCAAATCCTGGGTGACTCCACTAAAGTCGATGGAAGTTATCTGGCTGCAACAGAGATCAGGATATGACCCTAAATGTGTTATTCTGGTATTTTTAAAGCAGCAAGTGTAAACTGTATATGTTTTTTCTGCTTTTCCTTTCCCCCCTCCCTGCTTTTTCAGCCCCCATCAAATCTAGTTTTTCACTCTTCACTAGGAAGTATAAGCAAACACTAATAAAAATAATCTTCCTTTCCTGCCACTAAATACCCTTCTCACAGCTGTACATTCTGACATCCTATTTCCCCATTATGGTCTCAAATTCTCTGAACAATGTTTCTTGTAAGAAAGAAATCCAGCTGCCCCTAGAGCTTCGTGGATGCCAACTGCCACTCCTTCTGGATGGCTTCAGCAGTCTGCTTCACAGCAAAATCCAGACTGAACTGTACATGTAAAACCTGGGTCTTACTGCAATGGTACTGAAACATAGACCTGCCAGAAGTTACAGGGGGCTTTATTAACACGATTGGGTGTTAAGGTGATGTGTAATAAGGTATATCATGTATAACATGCTATATGCACATGTATGTTATACACATACATAGATGTACGTGCACGCACATGAATACAGCTTATAAAATCTTCCTATTTAGGTCAGAGCTGCATTTTTTCCCCAGCTGAGGATTGTGTAGATTCAGTGCAAAGAAGCAAGGCACGTTGGGTTGTGGAAACAGCGTGGAAGGACAGGTTAGGAAAGTCCAAAGGGACATATAGCTAACTTACCAGTGTTTAACAGATGACTCTGACTTTGGTGGTATTGCAGGCAAAACTGCAGGCAGAGAGAAATTGCTCTCTTCTTTAGTTCCTGCAGTTTAATTTACAGGCTTCTGAAATGTTGTTTTTTCATCAAATTTGCCTCATACACCAATATATGACTTCAATATCAATGGATTAGCATATAATACAAATACAAGAATATAATGCTTTCAGCTTGGACAGTCAATTCATGTAAAATCAACCTTGCAAATTTAACTGGTATTCGCAGACCTGCAGTCATTTGTTCATACATTTAATCAAAAGTACAAGAAAATTGGCTCCTTCTTTTTTAAAAAATAATCAGGGTCTGATGTTTTCTTTCAAAGTTAGGGAAAGCTCACAAAGAATAAGTCAAACGGTATTTTCCTTTAGGGTTATTGTTGCAAACATATTGCAGACCCACGGGAATGTCCACAAACCCATTCATGCCAAAGATCATCTGTGGTTTTGCATTGAAATTTGCCCATGAGGAAACTTAGTTCTTTTGAACCTGAATGTTTTCAATTTACAGGGACAAGCAACTTCATGTGAACCCTTTTTAATAGGAAAAACACACCACAGTACACCTTGAAACTCTAATAAAGAGGCACCGTGGAAAATGATAGTGTCTTGGCTAAATATTTACACTATCAATAGCTGTATGTGAGGACAAATCCTTTGCAGGAATACTGTTTGGTCAAGCCCTTGCCCAGCAATAAGAAAACTGATGGGTGTTTTGGTATGTGAATTTCTCAGTGGGAAAGCTCAGTGATATCTGCCTAAAATGAATGCATACGAATGTGAGATAACGCCTTGGTTCTGTGCCCATCGCTGGCAGATTTCCACTCTGTCTCAGTGCTTCACAATTTTATATATATATATTCTGATGTGGGACTATTCTGTGGGACTAATGAGAGCTAGAATGAGACTTTTGAGAGGCTTAAATATGTCTTACACATTCACCTTCCTCAGCTTAAATTGGATAAGAGTATGTAGATTTTTATCCTCTAAAAAAAAAAGTGGAAGCCTTTGTATAAAACTTTATTCCAGAGCCTAACTGTAAAGTCTGGGGGTTTTAAGCCAGTTTTACCTCCAGGTAGCCACTGGCAAACATTAATATCCCTAGATGTATATAAAATACACACAAAGATATGTCAGGTTACATTCAGTCTTACCGCACCTGGTTTTATGCACAAATCAGCATCAGTGCTGGATCAGACAAATAACTCGTTGAGGTGCATCTCCTCACTCCAGCAGTGACTTCTGAGGAAGGTGAACCCGAGGTGAACACCTGAGCTTCCATTTCTAACTTTCATATGGGGAGGAGGAGAAACAATATGCAGCTCTTGAGAATTGAGTTAATTTTAAAAAAAATAATGTAATATTACTTCAGGAATACTCTAGAGCTTAGAAAAGTAATCAATTTGCATATAAAATCCTTTAATGTTGATGGGAGCTCCAAGCCTGGAATGAATACGAAATACGCAGTAGTGACACTCTGGACAAAAGATCTGCAGTGCAGGAGTGTTCAAGGGGAACATTTGTCTTAAGTAATTAATTTGCAGAAGAGATCCCCTGCTGTTGTTCTTGGTACAATGCTCTCTGCGTTTAAATGTCAATCTAACTTCTGAAAAGTAAAATTTGCAAGTAATATTATTTTTAATTTTTAAACATTTTACTGGCAATTAAAGGAATCTTAGTTGTATTACAACATCCTAGTTCTTGGCTTGCTTTGGGAAAATACAAGTTTGCATGAATAAAAGCTACAAAGACTTTTTTTTGATAGCTAGAGCTTTGGTTTTTTGTGTATGTTGGGATTTTAGTGCTGAGAGCTTCAACTCCATTTTTAACCATCTGTAACTATGTCCATGGCTTGTCACAGTTTGCAGGATAATTTGCAGAAATTTGGACTATAACTGGTTGGACTCTGGCCTCACAGAAACAACCTATTCTCAATGCTACATATAAAATTGTATATTGTAGAAGTAAAATTAACTGAATATTCATAACGTTCTGTTACTTCGTAGTTATTCTGCTGCTCCTGTTTCCAAATAGAATGTGAACTGTAGTCTAAATTAACTCTAAGAGAAATAATATTTTCACAGTGTATCTACAGCGTAGAGTTCTTCATTGATTTTTAACATGTACCACTCTTCTTCTGAAAGGTTCTTGGCATTTGGGTTGTGTACTGTGTTTCAGAGATACAGTAATTGATGTAAATCATTGTTGAAATTCAGGTGCCCTTTTGGTACCAGTAAGAAGGAATCAGGTTGAGTCTCCTCATTTATCTATCTAGGATACACTGAAATGGCTGTTGAACTATCAGAGCTCAGCCCTAACTGACTAACATGGGATTCCAGCACCAAAATAAAAAGAAATCTTTTTAGTATAGGTTATGGAGTGTTTAGATATTCCGTAACCATTTTCTTTTTCCCTTTAGCCAAACCAACAAGTTTATCACTTCCATTGACGCCCGAGTCACCAAAGTAAGTACTAAAAAGTGCAAACATTTATAAAAGGGAGGGGGTTTCAATAGATTTTGGCTACAGCAACTCCATTTCAGCTTGTTTTTATAAATGTGCCCTGTCTTCCAGTGATCCCAAGGGTTCCCCATTTGAGAACAAGACTATTGAACAAACCTTAAGTGTGGAACTCTCTGGAACTGCAGGTGAGAAATGGGGAGTGCTGGCTCTTCCTTTAAGCATGGCTCATGTGTGTGTTTGTTCCTTTTAATATACCACATGTACAGCGCGATCTCACAGAGGTCTCCAGTAGATTAACTTCAGTGGAGTTTAGCATTGACTTTTTATCCAGTTACCTGAGAAGGAATGTGTTTGAAAATACGGCTCCAAACCTCCACAAGAGAGCATAATTTCTGGGAAAATATGAATGAAACCATTTAGCTGTTATACTTCCCCATTTCCCCATAGATTTGTGTACTGCTGAGCACCATCTTTCAAAGACAAACCCCACAGCACAGTGTAATAGATGTTACAGATGGAAAAGTTATGTCATCCAGTCTGTCTCCAGGCCGGTCTAGGGCTGTACGTGACTGCATGTTTCAGTGCTTTGTCAATTCTAGATTAATATGTCACAAATAACAGCTTTCTCCTCTACTACTGAAAAACTATTCCATAGCTTAGAGGTAATTTTTTCAATTGGTATTCATTTTATATTCTTGCTTTCTCTTTACTTCTTCCATTAGCACACTTCACACAACCTCCCTTTATCCTCCTCCTCCTTTCAGATCCCTGGTGTTTGTACCTTTTAAAGGTTTGTAGATTTTTTTTATCATGTGCTGGTTTAGTTCATGCATCACCCATTGCAGTCATTTAATTCATCTGCTCTTCTTTCTGCTAAAGTCAATTCCTTCAGACTCAGATCTGGTTTATTGCTTTCCTCTGAACTCTGTTTTGCCTACATTTTCCTGAGGTGTCCAGAACTGAGCACAAGAGCACACGTTGAGCTCCATCTAAGCTATTGCCAAGACTGTTTTCTTTCTCAGTTGTGTAATATTGAAAAATAAGATCTATAATTGGCATGTGTTTCTGTCAGGGTAACAGGGGATTGTAAATTATGTGATCTCTAGTGTTTTGGGGGGCATTGCAAAATATGTCTTCAGGTAGTGTAAATCAACTTGATGCCCCTAAATTCAGTGGCAGCTTTACACAAGAGCAGGCCCAAGCACTAGATTTGTGTATGTACTTTGGGCTTTCACCTCCCTGCAACCATCATTTCACTTTTTCAGAAACTTCATTAGTTCAGCATTAATACATACACGCTTACCTCTGCCATGTCCTGAAAACCTGCAGTTTTAATCATTACTTTCGTGACAAAAGGAAGCATCCTTCCAATGCACCTTCTTTTTGCAAAACCAACACAAACATGGCAAAATTCAGTGTATGCAGCAGGATAATCCCTCTCAGTGCCAGTAGACCTGAAGCATGAAGAAGCCTCTTTTATCATTACTGGAGAGCAAATCTGCATGAGAGTGCCCATTTGTAAGCACACTGGTAAGTCGGTGCTTAGTGCTGCCAACTGAAAGGGGCAGATGAGGTGACTGGAGCAGAGTGGTACAAGCAGCTGTTGAAGTCACTGAAGGGAGCAGTGTTTTCTCCCAGCCGGAAAGTCAGCAGCCTGCTCTTCCCTTCAGCTGACTAGACAGAAACTGGGAGTCAGTCTGACCCCTGTATAGTCCTCTGGTATTGCCTCCATAATGGCAACAGGAATGGTCTTGGTATTACCAAATTCATTCTGCTCCATCAGCTGTGCACAAAGGAGGAAAGAAAACAGCTCTGTAGTTGTCTTAGACACTGTAACACGAGAACTAGCACATTAAAAAAATGCATCAGAAGTTGTGAAACAGCACAACTGGACAAATACGTGAATTGGAATATTGTACTATGAAAACATGATTTATTATTTTCCCTCTGGAAGTAAATAGAGTCTAGCTAGAAAGTAAACTGATGATAATCAGGAAGAATAAGAGTTGGTGGAGTGTGTGTGGCCAAGGAGTTGGTTACCAAGTGTTACCAAGCAGCATACTTGATGGTGGCTCTTGGACTTCCACTTGCTCTGGTCTTCACAATGCCTGGTTGAGGCGATTTCAGGAGATTGTATTTCATCACTTGGTAGCTGTATTAATCTCTGCCTTCAGATACACATAGGTTTTATTTTTATATTCATATATGTATATAAATCTATAAAAGGATGAGTGGTTGTGCATGTCTTTTCAACTCATTTGTATTGCAGTAGTGTCTTGTGTCATGAGTCTGCTTGTGCTGGAAGTAGACAAGTACATAACAGAAACAACCTCGAGTACTGAAGAACTTACAGTGTATGTGAGTAAATCATGGCAGAATTGGGACCCACTTCATTAAAAAAAATACACAACAACAAAAAACCACCCCAAAATAAGGAAAAAAATAGTGGCAGTAGTGATTAATAATACCTTGGAGTTCTGTAGTGAGACCCTGGCAACTCCAAATTATATCCAGATAACCGCATTGCTCATTGTCCTTATATAGGGCAGCTTGCACTGTACAAGCTCTATTTATTATAATTTAAATAGGAGTTGCCTTGATCTCACTGCTGAATTGAAAAGACCATTAGCAGTGCTGCTCACACTATCCAAGCACAAAGTATTTTAATATAAATAGCAGCTCCCTTGATCTCTCTGCTGAAAACAACATTGGTTCCCTCACTGATGAATTAACTATAAAGTAGAAAAATAAATAAATAAAAGCATTTCCCACATGATCCATCAATCTCCGTCACACGCACATTTTGGATTAATGTATCTAAAGTCAAACTGAAACCGTTCTCTTGCTGATGCTATATCTTGCTTTAGAATGGATTTGTTAGTAGTTGGGAATGTAACTTTGTCCTCCCTAAAACTGTCAAAACATTGATTTGTCAAATTAGAAGGAACAAATATTTTTAAAAGTGTTTTCAAGCCACACATAAGAATTCTTCGAATGCACTTTAAATGGCCTATGATAGAGGAGTAAGTCCATTGCTATCTAAAATCCCAACTCCTACAGCTGATTTCTGGTGCTATTTTAAGGAAAAAGGACCAGAACATCATGATATAGAGGGAATCCTAGGTGATGATAATGCAGTGGATGAAATTTCTGTGTAAGGCGGGTCTCATTCTGAGTGAGAGGCTTGCAAGAGGTCCTTCTCCCTTTGTTTCCACAGCTAGCTGCATTGCCAACACCTTGTCAAGAGGCCATGGGCTGGAACCTCTCTAATGTCTTCCAGGAACATGGGATGTTTCTGTGTCACTGGAAGACCTCTTTCCTCTTTGTTACCAGTCAGGATGAGGGAGCAGGTGCAGGCACAGGGACTGGGAGGAGGACTCACCCTCTAGAGATGGCTGTGTTTTTCTTGGTGATTGATGGCTCCTCAATGATTGTCTTGGACTTTCTGCTGAACTTCTAAATGCCAGGAGTTAGACGGCATTTAGATGGCTCCTAAATGTTTGAAATTCATCTCTGTCTGTTCTCTCAGTGTCTTTTTAAACCTTCACTCCTAAGTACTTAAAGCCATCATGTAAGCGCATTAAGTGAGTTTACGCAGTTAAGGCTCAATCAGTAACTGGAAGGCTGTTTCCACCCTCTTATCTACAACAGGTGACTTGGTGAAAAGTCTCTCATTTGCACACAGATCCCTGTAATTTACTTGAGCATAAAACTCCTCACCGGTCTTTCTTGGGTGCAAAATTTGATTTCTCCAAAAAGATGACAGAAAAGGCTTTATGAACACAATCAGCTTGAATAGTGATTTGGAATTCATGAGCGTCCTTGAGGGTACTTATACCCTGCTATTTGCCCACCTCTAGATCTGTGTTACCTCTTAGTTGTCAGAAAAAATACTTAAAATCTATCATATGAGAACTTGTTTGACCTCAGAATGATTTCTGATAAAATGAGATGTGAGATGCAGAGAGTTGTCCAGAGGGAATAAAATTTAGTAAATTATTTGATATTTTCAGGCATCTGTGTTTATTCTCTGCAGCACTGACAACAGGATTAGACTGAATACTCAACAAGCATGTAGGTTTTTTATTATATGATGGCTATTTAATTTTATTATATTTTCCTGGTTTCTGCAATCTTGTGCCACACAAAAGCTCTTCTGATTCTTGTACTGAATTGAGCTGTTATCTTGTGCTCAGTGTTTTAAGTGGCCTTAAATAATGTTTCCCTTGACAATCCATTTTCAAACTTAAAAGGTATAATAGAATTCATTTTCAATGCCTCTCAAAAGCCCAGTGCACATGTAGAAAGGTTCCAGAGCTGCGTTCCCCAAAAGACACTAATTCTCAGCCCCCTCAAAGCACAATAAACGTCATCAAACATTTAAATGCTAACAGTTACAGTAGCGTTTTAGAAAGATCAGTGTCTATGTAAAACAGCATTGCAAATCAGTCCTAAAAAGTCAAAATGTCACATTCTGTGCAAAGACATTCCCCTAATTTCTGCTTATCAACCTGAGTGCTGAGCTAAATGAGTTACTAAGGGCGTTTTTAGTAGAGTTTTGGAATGTATCAGAAGTAGTTTCACTCTGCCAGAGATTTCCTTGAAAGAAGTCGCTCGGCCAAGGTAGCAGATTCGGCACACATGCGAACACCTTTTGTTGCACAGACACCGGGAGGACGGTGCTGCTTCGGCAGCAGTGCTGGCAAATTGATGTAAGCTATTTTCAAGCACAAGATCACCGAGTGAGTTCGTAGTATATAGACAGAGCAAGGCAAAGTGCAAACGTACCATTTACTGAAGCCATTCAATTAAAGAAAAGTCCCTACAAAGAAAATGGTTTTATAGCATGTCATGAAAAAATACTTGCCTTTTACTTTAAAAAGAAAAAAGACTGTTTAAGGGGGATGATTGTAGAGTATGTACCACTTCTAACAGATTTGCTGTGCAGAAGTACATAAGTGTGAGTGATGTAGAGGTACTTGTTTATTATAGAGCACATTTCAATGCAGTAATCATAAATATTGCTAAGGTTGTGCTCTGTTGAAATATGACCTACATACTCTTGATTGTTTGTGTTACGTGATTTGTCTGACACCCATTACATTCTGGGTAATGGCAGCCATTTGTTGCTGTGCACAGCAGGCTCTTTTGACAAAAGAAAATAGGCAGCAATAAAAAAGCTATAGTCTGAATTACATTCTGCACAGCGCTGCACTGCTGAGAGTTTGTGCAAGTGTGTTAACAATGCTCTGAACTGCCTCTTGTCAGCCTTCAGCCCGTAATGGCCATCTGTCCTTCCATAAATCTGTCAAAACCTGCTAAGTTCAAGAGAGAGCACAGAATATACCTTGTACTGTCAACGCTAAAATGTACACATTGGTGGAGAAATTGGCGCGTATGAAATAATCCAATGGTTATAGAATATTGTAACGCTGTTGGTGCGGGATCATGGCTCTTGGTGAAGATTACCAGGGATTAGTGTGAAGATGAGCGAGTGTGCAGTCAGCTGGTTTTCTCAAAGTTCACAGTTTGGACACTGGTCATGGGACACGCTGAAGGTGGACTCCGTAGCGGTGACGTGAATTCAAAACTTCACTTCCCCCTCCACCCCCCAGTGGAGGATTGTTCAAAAGTTAAATGAACATTTTCCAACTTTTATCTGTTTCTACTTGCCTGTGCACTTCCTGCTTCTGCTGAAAACTAGGAAAAAAGCCAAAATGCCACGAGGAAGCCCTTTCTTAGGATGTCCCCAGCACAGCTCTGCCAGCAAGAGAAGTGCCAGTAAATTTAGCTCAGTCTGTACTTTTGCAAGGGTTTTTTTTGGTGGTTTGTTTCCCTCCCCTAAAGATTGTTGGACTCCTTGTATGGCTTCTGGAAATCGCTGTGCTCTGTGTTTAGCTAACTTCCTGCCAGGGCTAGCTTTAAAGAAGTGTAAATGGAAACAATATTTTATTTTGAATATTGGATTATTTCTGGGGTTTCTTTGCCTGAAATTCTTAAATGTGCGTGTTCATTGTGGAATGTTTGTTGGAAGTAACAAGGAGGGGCTGGAATTGATATTCTCCTGCTTCACTCTTTCTTTAAAACTGCATCCAAAAATTCAGCAACTAACACCAGAGCTTCTCAGGTGCTATATAATTTCACAAGTAGGAATGATGGATCAAAATTTTTTACTAGAAAACAGTTGTTGCTTACTCAAATCTTTGTTGAATCTGAGCCTGATTTTTTTAACCCAGAAATGATTACTGCAGAGTTTTGAAGAGGAATGTTCTCTTCGTTTTACCAAAAATTCATTTGGTAGTCAAAAATATTTGTTAGTGAGCAGGTGGACAAGGTGTGAAATGTGTACTGCTGACTCAAGTGAATTTTTGGGAAGGAACAAAGAAAAAATTGAGGACTCAGAGGAAATGTTTTAACAGTGATGACTTTGCACAAAACTTTTTCATTTTTAAAATCAAATTTGGGGTAACTGGAGTTTTAGGTATCAGCATATTTGCCTCCGTTTCCCCGACTTTGGTGGCTGTAGACAAAGTCTTCACGTAGCCATGCGAGGCTCATAACCATGAACCAAACATTCAGACAAAATCAAGCTTCACTCTCACATCAAGTATTCATGCCTTGGTACTCCTATCTTCTTTTTTTCTGGAACAAATTCATTGCAGTTAATGCAATGGGACTCCCAGTCTCCATTTATGGTCCTTAGGGAGCACTGTGCATTGATGGACGCTTTTCCTTCTTTACAGAAAAACAGTATAAAACATGTTCCATTTGCATTGATCTGCTGAGCTCTGTTGCATGGCTAAAAATACAAAACAAAACTCTATAGCCATGTTTGAAATACACATTTCCTGTAAGTGTGCCTGCGCTCTCTTTTCATTCTTGCTAAGGAAGTAATGGAAAGCTCATTGCTTGGGCTAGAAGAAATCTTGGACAGATTGACCTCTGGAGTGCAGAAGCAAATTTTAAAAACGTAACATACTAACTAGCTTCCTGAAGAGTAATTATTTCCTGAACAGTGGCCACAGGTTGCTGTTACTCTGCGCTGGCATCCTGTGCTATCCTTTTATAGTCTGAAGAAATTCTATGATTTCTACAGAAAATGTGGACAGTTATATTCTACCCTTACAAAAAACATTGGAAGATGCTGCTTTGGTTCCCAGGTTTTACTAGAATGGTCTGTAGGCCTTCTTGCAATTTTATCTCACCATAGCGATATAATCTATTACAGTTATGCAAAAAATCCTGGTTGTTAGTGGTATCTTTAGTCTTTGAATACTTACCTGTTTCATATCAACTCCCTTCTTCATGACTCTCACTAATATTTAGTTATAAAGGTAATGGTTCTTTACAGTTGCAGTTGTCCTATTGTTCACTTGGGTTTCAGTTACAGAACCACATTTCAGGAAAAATGTGTTAGTTATGCTTACAAGACTGTATTATACAAACATTAGCAATGGTTTACTAAGTTAATGAACTGTGAAGACAAAGAGTCATTGCAGTCGAGTTGTAGAGCTGCTGTACTTGCTTGCATTCAAGTTCTGCATCCTGCCCAGGTTCCTTTTGTAGCACTCATGTATTTTTCTCAGGTTTGCTTTTATTCAGGTTTTTGTCTGATAATTTCGTTAGGTTTCTGACAGTGCGAGACTTTTGATTTTTATATCAAAATCTTTTTGATTTTTAACAAAAACGTCTTTTGGTTTTTACCTCTTGATCTTTTCTATCAAAATCTACAGAGAGAGAGGCGGGTTTCGTGGAGGAAGGGGAGGGGCAGAAATGATGCTGAAGATTAATAGCATCTGTTGCTATTGTTGGTACCAGACCTTTGGTGTCTCACACTCCACATACTCTTATTTCCAGTATTAGTAGTGTTAAATTAAAATGACATAGAATGGGTCTTGCTTTGTATCTGTTTTAAAGAAGTACGTGAGCCACCTTTATAACCGTTGTCCAAGTGCTTAAAAATACTCTGTTCCTCCTTTTTTCCTCCTTAGGCCTAACTCCACCTACGACCCCTCCTCATAAAGCCAACCAGGATAATCCTTTTAGGACTTCACCTAAGACGAAGTCATCATGCAAGACTGTTGTACCACCTTCAAAAAAGCCCCGCTATAGTGAGTCTTCCAGTTCTCAAGGAAATAACCCAATCAAGAAGGGTCCAGAACAGTCTGAGCTGTATGCACAGCTTAGCAAGACTACAGTCCTGTCCAGTGGACATGAGGAGAGAAAGACAAAACGGCCCAGTTTGCGGCTGTTTGGTGACCATGACTACTGTCAATCTGTGAATTCAAAATCGGAAATACACATTAAAATATCCCAGGAACTTCAGGACTCCAGACAACTAGAATTTAAGGATTCTTCACCTGGGTGGCAGTGTCAGATTTGTTCTTCTTTAGAACAAGACCAGTATTTCAAGAAAGAGACTTTACAGACAAGTAAGCAGGGATCCCATGGTAATAATAGAAAACAGCTCCAAGACCAGGAAATTCGGGCTGAACTGAATAAGCATTTTGGTCACCCCAGCCAAGCTGTTTTTGATGAAGAAGCAGATAAGACCAGAGAACTAAGGGACAGTGATTACAGTAATGAACAATTCTCCAAACTACCTATGTTTATAAATTCAGGACTAGCAATGGATGGTCTCTTTGATGACAGTGAAGATGAAAGTGATAAACTATGCTACCCTTGGGATGGGACACAAGCCTATTCATTATTTGATGTATCGCCTTCTTGCTCTTCTTTTAACTCTCCATGCAGAGATTCAGTGTCTCCACCCAAATCCTTATTTTCTCAAAGATCCCAAAGGACACGCTCTAGATCAAGGTCCTTTCCTCAACGCAGGTCTTGTTCCCGTTCTCCATATTCCCGATCGAGATCAAGGTCGCCCTGTAGTAGATCCTCTTCAAGGTACAGTACAGCAAATTCATATATCGTCATCGTAGTTAATAAGGAGAACAGCAAAAACATAAAGCAACTTAAAGGAAAGAAAGAATGAAAGACAGAAGATAAAAAAAAAAGAAATAACAATCCAGTGCACCTCATTCTATTGCTCCTGAGCTGATTAAGTCTGAAGGTTATAGGGTTGCTACAGAAACACTTGTTGCCATTATCCTTTAAATTTGCCAAGTTTACACTTTCTGAGTGGAGCCAGTCAGGTCAGCAGCAGAGCAATTGGTGGGAGATGTACACAGCTAACCTTTCCCATTATCTGTGAGCTGCCTGGTGCCAATCTAACTGCAGTCCCTATCAGATGAAGTTGACAGTGGCTGACTCTCTGTTCTGTGTTAGCCTCAATAAGGAACATTACAGAAGGGCAGGGGGGAAAAATCACTTGAAGCCCCTTAGTTGACTAGGAGATCGCAAACTGTCACTGGAAAATCTCACTGGTAGCTTAGAAGAAATTGTAAGTTCAGGGAAGAGGTAGAAAATGGTGTCAATAGATTCAAACTGAATGACAGAGGTGTATGTGTTTCTTCCTGCAGATCTTGTTGCTATTGTGAGTCCAGCCACTGTAGACACCGAGCATACAGAAGTTCTCCCTTATGTGCAAGATCGCGGTCCAGATCACCGTACAGTCGCAGACCCAGGTAGGGCATTTTGCGTGCATTTAGTTTGCTTTGCAGCTGGTTCTCAAGAGATAATGAAGCTTTCCAGAAACTGTATTACTAATTTTACATTCACAAATGCAGGTGCTTGATTTAATGACTAAGTTATGTTTCCTAGATATGACAGCTATGAGGAATATCAGCATGAAAGGCTGAAGAGGGAAGAATACCGCAAAGAGTATGAAAAACGGGAATCTGAAAGGGCCAAACAAAGGGAGAGACAGAGGCAGAAAGCAATTGTAAGCACTGTGAAGATAACTTTGATTTTGAAATAGATTTCTGTTTCTTTTCATAGATTTCTAAAGCTAGAACTCAGACTTTATTTTCTTCCTTTTTTATAAAAGAAAAAACGAAATACAAAAATCTGCTTACCTGTATTTCTTAGTATTTAGAATTTGAGGCAAATATGTGTTTTCATAACTATTTGTGTTTTAATGTTACAATACTAATTTTTTCAGGTTCTGTGAATTGCAGCTCTCCAAGTTTTTCGCAGATATAATGAGCTTGCTAGAAAAAAGTTTCATCCCAGACAACAGACAATTAAAAGTGAACCAGTCTATTTCTTATACAGATCTATCAGTGAACCTGCATTTTATACTATGTATCACCTACCAGAATGCCAGTAATCAATGTCTATTTTCTATATCTCTCGTTTTTTACATAAGTGATATAAGGAGTCAGCTTAAATACCGATTGCTGGACTTCTGTAGTAGCTGTAGTTGTCTGCACAGAAGGTGCAGATAACAGAATTCAAAACTGGGATCCAAAGACAGGAGTTTAATTCTTTTTTCCTGTCTATGACACGGTTAATTTTTAAGTTATTTTTAGCAAAATAAATAGTCTGAAGACATGATGCAATTTTAAAATGTCACTTAACACTGGCCCTTTCATAATGAATATCTATTATTTAATTATTTTGTTCATCAATGTTCTGTGTGAAACAACTGAAATACCTGAGGCAAAGGAAATACCCGTGTGGGGATGAGCGACTCTCTTGGCTGTTGTAGCAGTAGGACAGAAAAATGGCTATTAAATGGACTTTTGCCCCTTTTTAGTTCCCCATTGGCAACTGTATGATGGTTTTGATAAATTATATTGGGAGCTACTGTAAATCTGGACTCTTTTGTAGTTGTTAAGCCCATTTGGAGGCTTGCCTTAACATTTTATGGTTGGGTTTTGGTGTCCCGCGCTTCCTGTTCTGTTGTACCTTTACTGCTGTTCTGACTCTTCTTCCATGAGCTGGTGCAGACTGGGACACTTCATCATTTCCGGATTTTCCCTTAGTGCTCTGTCCCAGGCTCACCAAAATGAATAGGTCTTTTTTCCAGTGCCTTCAGTGGACTTTGTAGTAAAAGGTGATTTGTCACACACTCGGCAGCATTTCTCCTAATACTTAAACCTACAGAACTGAGAGTGCGTAGAGGTTGACAGACACTGGTGTAGTCTGTGGCAATGAGAAGTTCTGGGAGAGAATAGATACCCTATTTTCTGATTTTTGTCTGTGCCACTGTTGTTCTTAGTGAGCTTCATCAAATTGTTTCACTTTTCTCTGCTTCAGGTGCCCTATCTACAAAGTGTGGGTGATAACACATATTTTGTAAAGCATGAGATTTAGAGCTATAACATGCTCTGCTGTGCTGATCTGCAACTCAGTGAAGGCAATGGAATGATTTTGCTTGGCTTCAGACAGGGCTATATTTAAGTCAGTTGTTGCAGTTAGTTTTAAAATATCTGGCTTCCATCTGCTTAGACATGAACACTACCTTCCAGCAATCGTAACTTACACTGGCTGTTCTCTCTCAGCTCTAACACAAATTAGAGATTCAAGTAGACTTCTGTCATGGGTATATCTTGCTACTTCTCAATTATGGTACCTTACTGGTATAAATAAACCTGAATCCTCCTGAGGGGGTGGAAAAATTGATTTAATTCAATACAAACAAATATTTGGCAACTAGCTAATCAAGGGAAAATGAAAAAAAGAAAGAAGACAAATTTTAAAAGCTCCAGATATGCTGCATCATAACTTCCTATGTTAAGAAGTATAGACATTTCAAAACCAAAGTTGAACTTATTTTCTTTCTAAAGTGAGCATTTTCATTATAATTAACTTCATTAATGAAATTATTTATTAATAAACATAAATAAATTAGAACTAAAAAATAAATATCAATAAATAGAACATTGCAAAAACTTATAGTCCAGTCACTGTGTAAGCGCTGCAGATGTAAATGAAATCCTATTCACTCCTTTCTCCAAAGTCTACCAGCACTTTTACTTCAAAAATCTGTATTGAATCATGCCAGTTTATTCTCTGTGCAAATAAGTAGGGGTTAGGGGACAGCAGAGAAAGGGGTGCCCTGATCTCATGAAGTCAGTGATAAAATTTGTGTTATTTCTAGCATTCTCTGCTCCTTTTCTTACTCCTTTTGGCTTATGGGTCTCTTCTGTGTCACTCTATTCTTTCTTGACGGACTCAATTCATTTATTGTTTAGCCACAAGAATGTCCTCTCTCTTTCCTTGAACTCTTTCTACAGTCCCATAAATTTAGATTTCTTTGCTTTCTGCATTGGGGATTTTTTAAAATTTTCTTTCTAGCCCATTCTCATGCTGCAAGAATTGATTCATGGCCACATACCTCCAGATACTGTTACAAGAGTGGCCCAAAACTTGGCAGTACTGATGCCTCGGGTGTTACACAGGGCAGGTGGCTTTTCTTCATGAGAAGCTAAGGTCTCAGAAGTTAGTTGTAGAAAGGATGCACAGTGGGAAGGGAACAAAAATTATGACTGAGCTAAAATCCATCAAGTATTATTCTTTCAATATCTAGCATTAGCTTCCATGGGACAAGAAGGGTAGAAACCTAGGAAAAAGAAATGAGAAAAAAAATCACGTATTTTGATCTGTCAAAACCATATATGCAGCAATGCCCTCTGATTGTGCAAGCAGCTTGTATTTTGGCAGATGTGAAGGCATATTGGCAGAACGCTGAGGAGGCTTGTTTCAGAAGCCTGTGCTCATACCATGTGGCAGAGGCGTGTTTAAATGGCTGCCCCGACAGTCTTGCACACAACACCTTTGCTGCAGTAGCTTCAGATCAGCTAGGAGCCGGGGCTAGCATTTCCCTGTATGGATTCCTGAATTCCTATCTAGGCTTACAGCTATATACAGGTGGTTTAGTTTAATTTTTAATAGTTTAGTTTAATCTTGACTTGATTTATTTCACTGGGTCCCCATTTTGTTTTAGAATGGATCCTCCTGAATGTAAGCATGGTCTGCCACCAAGACTTACTTAATTTTATAATGCTAACCAGATCATAGTGGAGATACTTTCATCAGGAAACTTGAGGAGCAACTGCAGGACAGTCTACGCAGGGCTTTGTAGAAACTGGGATCCAACCCCTAACCAAGGCAGATCACATTGCTTTGCAAAGAAGACTGAGGACCCATTTTTTCTTCTGATACACCCCAGGAAATTTCTGAGTTATGCAGGCTTTTACTGCAGCATCTCATTAGACCATGCGGCAAATACTTTCCAAGGCATGGCATCAGAAATACAGTTAGCACATTTCAATTCTGGAGTGACCAGTTAGTGGTTCCCCATTGATGTGGTGCACCAGGACTGGGAGGTTAAACTGTTTGATGAGCAGCCTGGTGTTCTGGATCCCTGCTACTCTGCCGCTATGGCCACGATAGCAACTGTCACATCCTCCCTGCTGCTCGTTTACTGCGTGCGCTGTCTGCTGCCAGGAGGTATAACAAAATCAGCTTTTATACCCAAGTAGAAAATTTCTATTAACATTACTACTTTTCATTTCTGAGTGCTGACAGCCTCCATCAGATTAAGTATCAAGAGTCCCTGTCCCAGAGAGCTTACAGACATAAGAAGATAAATACGCTGTGAGACCACTGAAGTGGAAAGAAACACAGGGTTTCAAAAAAAATAAATTGCTCTACAACAGGAAGGCAGGAGAAAGGTGGTTTCATAAATGAGTGCTTGGTTTCTCTAAAGTCTAAAACCAGAGTCAGCCTATAATGGAGTGCATTCCCACTAATGAAAGATCCCGCATACGTTGTATATTGAGTTTGGATTTTTTTGCTGTTGCTCATCTTGATGGCCCTGATCCCAGGCACTTTACTTTTGCTGCTGAGTTGCTGAAAATGTATCAAACAGATTACCTAAATCTTGAGTTTTACTGGTCCATCATTGTTTTTCTAGCAGTCACCATGGAGGGTGGCTGCACTGTTCCAGTCCTCAAGTAGCCACACAGCAGCATTTGAAAATTTTGTGCAATGTTCATTCTTTCTTTCTTTTCCAGTTTTCATGAGTCTCCCTTTTGCCGTTCATAATTGTCCACAGGTCATACTTAGTCCACAATTCTTCTTTATTACAAAATCTAAAGCAATTTTTTCTTACTGTGTCAGAATCTTAAGCATTGCTGGCTTTTTCCATCCATAGCATTTCTATTTTTTAAACTCTGTCCGACTGTTCCCATTGTACTTGCAAAATGGTGTTTGGTCTCCCGCTCTAAGGATTAAAGTCTTCATGACTTTTGACTGGAAAAGGAGAGAAGTCACTTGGCATGGAAGGCAGCAAAGGCATGGGGCTTGCACCCAGCCAGCTGCCTGTGCTGGAGGAAGCAGCAGAGCCTTTGACAAGCCCATTGCAGACCCCAGCTTTAAAACACCCCCAGATTTCTTCTCTCTGCTTCACATAGAGCATTATCTGGCTCTTAGACAGCTAGGTGGGCACCACAGATGTGCAGACAAAAAGCGGTAGGGAAAAGGGGGACAGCAGCACTGTGCAGTGTTACCTCTGGAGTGGCTGCCTTCATTTCCCACAGACGCTACTTAGCAGCACCATGGGCAGGTAAAGCAAACAAGTGTTGGGTGAAGAAGCCTAGTGCAAAAATGCACATGAAAACTAATACATGTAATGGTCTGGGCTTTAGTTCTGTGTGAATTAAAGGATTAAAAATGAGGAAGGGAAAACAATAAAGCCTTTGCAAGACAAAAAGAACTTTAGCATCAGTGAACATTTTACAAGATGAGTGGTCCCTGTATTGACCCTTAGATGTGTAAAGTATATCCTGGTGCTGTTTTCTCAAGTTTTGGCATGCTCATGTTTTAGTATTTTCATTTGAGACTTCAAATACTGCTTCTCAGTCTGAGATTTTCTGCCACATCTGCCTATTCAAATGTTTTTACTGCAAGGAAGAAAGAGCAAGATTAAGAAGAAGGAGCTTTAGATAAACTTGAAAGAAGACAGACATGTTGGGCCTGAGGCAGTTGGCTGGACTCTTCTTTCTTTATTTACCTGGCAAAGCAATGAATTACGCTTTAAGGTTATGATGCAAAATAAATCATCTGCACTTTTGGGAGGGAAATATGAACAGTATCTTCTGGAGTTTCCTGCGGGTTCCCTCTGCCCACATTAAACTGAAGAGAAAACCTTTTCTCTGCAGTTCTTTAGGATCCCAAGTCATATATCATCTCCTCTAACAAGTGCAGTAAAAAGCATACTTAATATGCACATATGGACTTATGCATGTAACTTATTATAAAATAAAGGTCTTTAACATTTAGAGGTATGTTGTAATCTTGTTAGGCTTGTATAGCTCTTATTATTAATGGGAATAAAAGGCAGGTGTCTCTGTGAATACAAATAAATTTCTTCATAGTTGCTTTAAATAAACCAGAGTTAGCCAAGATGAAGACAATGCTGTATGAATCCTGTGTTCTCCAGTATCTTATACTAGCATGACACTTTGCTTAAAAAAAATACTTGAAAGAACATCTCCTCATGTGTGCACACTGGAGGACATATGGTGCATTTCAGCTTTAAATTTGAATTTCCTTAATTTTGCAGGTTTAACTTATTCCCTTAATGATAGTTTAACAGGCTTTTTTTTAATTGTTCGGTTTTGGTTTATTACGGTTTTCTTAAAGGGATATTAGAGATATAAAGGTTATTAGAGGGGTAGAAGAAGGAGAAATTGCGCAGGCATGCACACAGACTTATGGAAGAGCATTGCAATAGTTATTTCCATTGCACTGTAATATAACAATCTCCATGTCAGTGAGTGAAACATTATGTTTTTTCAGTTGAGATGTATTATCTCAGCTAAAGTATATTAGACAGTCTGCTATGTTATGTTCTGCTCCATCTGGTCAGTCATTTAGGTTCAATAGCAAGTATCAATGGAATTGTTTCTTATCAAGTGTTTCAGTGCACTTAAATCCTTGATTTGGTAAAACAGTCTGAAAAAGTAATTACTGTGCATATGCAGATTTTCCTGTTTTTGAAGTTTATGGCACCCAACCATACTGAAAGTAGGCAGAATCAGAATGGGGAAAATGGAAGAAATGCAGATTTCAGTTGCTTGCACTCTACAGTCCCTAGTTCACAGAAGCCCTACCCAAACTCCTCTGTCAGGAGGGTCAGGGCTCTGGACTGGGACACAGTAGAGACAGATAAAAAGCAGCAGCTGTCTGTAAAGTACCCCTCTTCCCTAAATTTATGGCTACCCATGAGCACACTTATACTTTTTTTAGCCATGCTAGCTTGTCCAGACTGCACTGCTATGACAGTGAAACAAGGGCAGCACACTTCAGAGGACATAACATTTTAAAATGAAAATGTCTGTCCCAGTAGGGTTTACAGGACTACCAAGGCAATCACCTTGGTTCCTTAGATAATCAAAAGAGGCAGTTCTTTCAAGCATCTAAATGAAGTACTTAGCTGATCCCATTGATTAAGGAGACTGTGTACATACTTGCGTAGAGCAACCGAAGACTCTGCTGGGCAGACAAGGGTGCTATAGAAGACCCAGGTGGTTGCAGTGGCCACTTTTTGTACCATACCTTAGTGGGTAGGGCTTTTGGGTAGGAGCGTTTGATTCCTGGATCTCTGTTTTCTGGAGCTTTGGACTCACTTTTATTTCTCAGCTTAGATTAAGTGGATCTGAGCTCCTGAGATTGGGGAGGCCAGAAAAGAGTCAGCAAAAACAGTTGACTGAGTGTGAGAGTGAGAAGGAGTTTCTGTTGGGAGGCAGATATATTAGTTTCAGCTTCCTGCTGCAGGAATTGTTTATTTTGCATTAAACAGTTCCTGGGAGTAGAGTGCTCTCCTGGGAACAGTGACCTCTCCTGGGAACAGTGACCCAAGATTTTGGGCCCCCATAGCTCTTTATCTCAAATGAGCGCTCAAACAAGGTAAAAAGAGGCATCAGGATCGTTTCTGTTTCTACATGTGTTTTGATCTGATCTCAGTCCTATTGTCTGTGGTCCAAGAATGACTACTGCCTTATACCTCTATGGGGACTCATGGAAAAGATACGTTTCATGCTATATCTGAATTGTAACACTATAAGCTACCTGTCTTTTCAGGCTAGAATGTTTCTGAGCAGGAATACAAATCTATATTTAGGTCCCTAGAGCCTTTTGCATCGCACATTGAGGTGCCATTAGCCTTTAGGCACCTCCAGGTTATGATAGTCATGAATTCTCAGCAGTCAGTATAGCTCCTTCAGCATTCGGCACCTAAATTCTGCGCAAGTCTCAGGTGCCAAAGCTGATGGTTTAAACTGACATTGCTCCACTGACTGACAGATTTACGCCAGCTGAGAATGTGGTGGTGGTGGGTCAATTTATGGGACAAATGTGCGGGTGTGTAAGGGATGAGCAGTAGGGCTGGTAGTGCCAGGGTTCTTCAGGCCAGAGGCAATCTGAGACAGGGAGGCCGAGCACCCAAGCCATGTGGAGCTGGTGCTTCTTTGCCCTGATTACCTTAAGGTCCATCTTTTGAAGATCTCTTTTTGCCTTTTGCTTTGCTTGCAGCTCATTAAATGGCTCTATCCTTAGTGAAGTGTTCATCCAAAAATTTGTAAAGTGACTCTCACATGGTTTCCTAGTTCTTCTGTCAGTCTGCTGAGCATTTCCACTCAGGAAGGAGGGATATGACCATGACTCAATTGTTTTAAAAGTATCTTCGATGCTTTGCTCCAAATGTTGAAGGAACATGCAAATGGCACCCTAGCCTGTAAAAATCAAGGAATTCAGTCAGGTTTTTTTCTGAAGAAACCAAAAGGTAATGGTGACCAGAGGTTATGTTTTATTGTCCTGCCTT